CTATGTGCCCAAATCAAATTAAGAATTCAAATCCTCGTCTCCAAAAGCTGTTAGTGTGGGGAAGTGTCCCTTTCCATGGCCCCTGGGGTGTACTAACAAACTAAAAAAACAACAACAAAAAACGCTGAAAGCACTGTTGAATCTCTTTCCTTCTTTACATGGTCTGAAGGGAAATCTGTATTTAAAGCATTTCTTCTAGACTTGCTCTTCCTCCTCTGCTCCAACAGCTAGCCAGGGGAGAGGTCATTACCTGGAAGCCATTTAAATCATGACACCAGCAGAATATTTTGTCTAAGTAGAGAGAGTGTGTTGGCTGCTCTGGGTCTTGACCCAAATCAGATCACTGGGCTCAAATACATAGCAAGTAGCCTTTCCAGTAACACTAGCCCACGTGTATTTTTCTGTAAGTCCAAAGGCCTAAAACTCCCATCATTGTCTTTCCATTGTCATAAATGGAACAGGTCGCAGATGGTCGGTATGTTTGTTTTTAAAGTGGGCTTAAAATGCTTGTAAGTTGTTTCAGATCCCCACCCTCTACCAGAACATCTCAATTATAGAATCCACATTTCAGTGTCCTTTGCAGTCTAATTTTCGGGGCTAGATCATGGAGCTATGCAGATTTACACCAGCTGCATGGACTTCAGTGGCATTATGCCAGTTTACAGCTGCTGATCACCTGTCCCTCAGTTCAGAGTCAGAATGTTTTGAGCTTCCTTCCCTTCTGCAGTTGATGGCTTCAGCTAACACCTAAAGCATTGCTCTAAATGCATCTCCCTGTTCTGATTTAAGTGTGATATCAACTCTTGTAGGGGAGAGAGCCCTGATCGCTTAAAGGGGGGCCTTTTATCCTAATGTAATTCAGCAAAGCACCTGTAATGGACTGCATGTAGTGTTGACTTGAAGGGAGATGTGTGTGTTGGAGAGAATATATTTCTGACCGAATCCCTCCTGTGACCCAAAACCTCACCCAAAAAAATTAGAAGCAGCCCATGCACACACTCATTCGAGGAAAAACACCCAGTAGAAAACCAGACTTGCCATGTTCAGTAGAGCACTTGTCGCTGAATGGCTTGGTGCAGATCCATGAAGTCAGTCTGTAGAAGGTGGTGTCTGTTTAGTTTTGAGTACCACTAGACCAGGAGGGAGGGGGAGGAAAGGGATTCCAATCCCAGGGAAATGCTCACAGGAATGTTGCTTTTCTTCTCAAAGCTTTCAAGCGTGAGTTCATGCTGCATGTAAGTGTGTTGGTTTTCTGCCCCTCCCCCCCAGAAAAACCTGAAGACTACATCGACCGAGGAGCATTTAATAATGGCCAGGGTCAGAAAAAAGTCTGCAGGTTCAAACGTGAGTGGCTGGAAAACTGCTCCGGAATACTTGATACCAGCTATGGATACAAAGATGGAAAACCATGTGTTGTCGCCAAGCTCAACAGAGTTCTAGGCTTCAAACCAAAGGCAAGTGCTTCTTTTCTCTTCCTAGTAATTTGGGGGAAGTGATTTCATAGCAGGAGCAGGTGACTGGTCTTGGAAAAGCTATTTACTCCGGACTCTTCTCCCCTATAAAATGGAGATATTAATGTCTACCTTGCAGGGTGGACGCAAGGCTTAAATAATTCGTGGAAAGTGCTGTAAGAGCCTTCAATGATAGGTGCTATGGAAGCACTTTGCAAATCGAGTCTCTTGATGCATCACCTTGGTTCAGGACTGCCAGTTGCCTTCCCCAGTTCAACCACTCAAGTTCTAGGCTGACTCTCTGGCACTGTACCAGAAAGCAAACTCCCATGTGGGCTCTGTGCCATTCCTCCCTTATCTGTGATACATACGCTTTCCACAATACCTTTAGGAGATTTGCTTTGCCCTTTGACCACAAGCATTTATTGGGGGGAGGGGTGTTCTCTCAGGCTGTCAAGCTTAATCTACTACTAAATTCACTAAAAGGAATTTTTTTTTTTAAACTGTATCTGAACTGCAACTACCCTGCCCCCCTCAGGAAGTTGTCTGTAGAGCTTCTCTTGTTGGCAGATTCAGATTACTGTTGGTGAATTGTTGGCTTCCATGGTCACTTAGTTGCTCACAGTAATGGCTTAAAATCATTGCCAGCCTGAGCTGGCTTTGAAACTGTGATCTAGAAGCAAATCTGGCTCCTGCCAATAGTCCTCCTCCCTCCCCATGTCCCCTGGGACTTTGACACACAAGGATGAGGCCATTTGTTGGCACAGTTCTGAATTTCAGGAAGACATGCTGGAAACTAATCAATGTGCGTGTTTTCAATGGAGTGAGTCTGAAGAGCAAAGAGATTATCCAGTGTGAAATGTAACACTTGCTTGTTCTGGGTTTCTTTTAGCCTCCACTAAACGACAGCCTCCCTCCCGAGATGATGGGAAAATACAATCCATATGTCATCCCTATTCATTGCTTTGCCAAGGTAAGTGTGTCCATGCCTTTCACACAAGAGACTGATCACGTGTCAGGAATCAAATTTCCTCCAAAGCAAAATTTTGTGAATGTGCAATGAACTCGGGCCATGAAAGGGCAGAGCAAGCCAAAACCATAATATACACCATGCCAGTTTTGTATAAGCAGAGACTCGTGCTTCTAAGCCATGGCTGTGGGAGGACATGTACGTTCAGTGATGCTGTTTATTATCCAGGAGCTGCTTTCTCTGGCCCAAGTTCTCTTAGGGTAGGTCTATACTACCAGCTGGATCAGTGAGTAGCGATCAATAAATTGACCCCTGATATATCGCATCTAGTCTAGACGCGATAAATTGATCCCTGAGTGCTCTCCTGTCAACTCCGGAACTCCAGCACTACGAGAGGCGCAAGCAGAATTGACGGGGGAGCGGTGACAGTTGACTCACCGCAGCAAGTCGATCTAGGTACGTTGACTTCAGCTAAGCTATGCTTATAGCTGAAGTTGTGTACCTTACATCGACTCTTCTTCTCCCCTCTCCACCCCCTCTCAGTGTAGACCTGGGCTTAGATTGTTTAAAAGTGAGCATGCTTCAATCCTGAGACAGGAGTCAAGTCTTAATGCTCATTCGCTCCTTGAGCTTTCTGCTGACAAATGATGCTCCCCCCACCTCGCCATTCCTTTTGATAAGGATATCTTCCCCTTAGGAATTGGATTGAGGCAGCTCATTTCACAAAGGTCGGCGAACAACTAAAAACGACTGAATGTTGTCGTTGACCTGATCTCTGGGAAAGGTGACCTAGAAAAAGCCACCCCCCCCACCCCCCGATCCTTTCAGCCGTCTATTCCCCAAAAGCAAGGTCTCTTCCAAATAGCAGTATCCTCCCCCTGGGGTAATTCATTTACGCAAGCAGGAAATTTGTGGAGAATAATGCTAACTGAAAAAGGCAGAATTTTTTGTTTAAATCTGTCGAAAAATTTTAAATTGAACTGCCAGAGGCACAGCAAGCTTTGCCAATTTTTGGGCCAGTTCTAAGAGGGAATTATTAGAATTCAGGATTTTCCTGCACCCTCTGCTGTAGATAACAATGAATGGCCAGGGAACAATAATGCTGATCTTACCAAGCAGCTGGAAAACAACTTGAAGTTCTGTGGTGACATAATTTGAGTGTTTTTGTGGAACTACTTCCCTTATTAAAGGTAAATAGGATTGGATTATGTTCATTGATTTATTTAATTGCTCACATTCTACTACTGTGTAGCTGTCCTCAGTGATACTGAATTGGTTAGAATGAATGAAGGTAACTTTATTGCACTATCCAGCACAGAAGTCACAGGGTGATGGCCAAGGAGGGTTCAGATAATCAGGTTGGATGGGGGTATATAGTGGTGGGGAATATTTACAAAATGGGGTTTGGACAAGTGGTTTTTTTTTCCCCCTTTCTTTAGAAAGAGGAAGATGTTGACAAAGTTGGCACCGTTGAATATTATGGGATGGCTGGCTATGCTGGCTTTCCTCTACAATATTATCCATACTACGGCAAGCTGCTCCAGCCACAGTATCTCCAGCCTCTCCTGGCAGTGCAATTCACTAACCTGACCTTAGACATGGAAGTGCGTGTGGAGTGCAAGGTCTATGGTGAGAACATCCATTACAGTGACAAAGACCGTTTTCAGGGACGTTTTGAAGTGAAATTTGACATAAAGAGCAGCTGATCATAAGCACACTTTTCTTTTCTCCCCTCCTAGCCATTTAAAAGGTAAAAAACCTACTAGTCTTGAACAAACTGTCATACGTATGGGACCTACACATAATCTATATGCTTTACACTAGCTTTCTGCATTACTAGGTTAGAATGTAAACTTAAAGTGTAGCAATAGTGACAAAATATTTATTCTACTGTAAATGACAAAACAAAATTGAGCCTTGGGATGTGCCCATTTTTACTGTAAATTATGATTCCATAACTGACTTGTAGTAAGCAGTGTTTCTGGCCCCTAAGTATTGCTGCCTTGTGTATTTTATTTAGTGTACAGTACTATAGGTACATACTCTGGTCATTTTTCAAGCCATGTATTGTATCTGTTTTCTACTTCTGTGAGCAAAGATTTTTGCTGCCTGAGGTGTAAATACTCAATGGGACTAGAACTGGCATGGTACTTTATTTTTTCTGTTTAAAGATAAAGGCCCACCTGTGAGACTATTTAACAGCACTCCATAGATCCTTTTTATTTTCCTGTGGTGTAAGGGTATTTTATTTGGAGGGGTGGCAGGGGAAACTAATTTGAGTTCATGACTAAATAAAAAAGGTGATTGTGTACTGTGCTCCTAGTGAATGCTCTTTCCACCCTCATCCTCCACTATGTTGTGAGAGACCTGAGTCAGGCTAGCCCACCAGTGATGACTGATGATTTGCTTTGTGTATACTTTTTTTTCCCCTCCTGCTGGCAGCATCACACCATGTGGTGCTAATGTCTTTATTGAATGTTTTAACCATTTTCATGGTGGAAGATTTTATATTTATGCAGTTGTACAATTTTATTTTTTCTGCAAGGAAGTGAGTGTAATGTATGAAAAACCAAAGTCACTTGTTTGAAAATAAATCTTTATTTTGAACTTTATAAAAAGCAATGCCGTACCCCATAGAATGGTGTTAAATGTTGTCTAAAGTGCACTCTATGTTCTAACATATGTAATAAATAGCCAGGAGTACAGTGCTCTTGCTCTTGTATTTCAGTCAGGTTAAAACATTGGACAATAAATGAATGAACACATCTCTCCTTGTGTCAGTCTTTCGTTCAGGAACCCAAGATAGTTCCATGTTCTGCTGTCAGTTGTCCAGAATCTTGAAAAAGTACTGGACCTGTGAAAGACACACGTTAACAATAGCATCAGTGTGAATCCAGCTGGATCTCTGAAAAAAATCTTGGCTGTCAGAATGTACTGGAATCTGGCTGTATTTAGGGGGTAAAAACCCTGAGTGTTCCTGCAGTTAGTAAATACAGCTATAGCCAAGTCAGGTACTATATAACTTTAATGGGAAGTGATTGTTTTTAGCACTCTGGTCTTTCCATAATTCCCTTGCAACAGTAAAAAAAAGTTCAACATCCCATTAAAAGTAAATATCCTTAAATCAAAATTAAGTTCTAAAGCAGCACTTTTCTTCTCTGTGTGATGAAATTAACATTTAGTGACAATCTATCCTTCCAAGCCTATTTATTTTACTTCTAGGATCTCAGTGCCATTTTTAAGTTACATTTCAAAATGTAGGTCTGCAGGTTCCTCTCTCAAACAGGTCCAAAACCTTTGCGCTTAGGAAAGGTAAGGGCTCCTACATATTGTATGCTGTGGGTACATCAACTGTTTTAGACCATATTAACAGAGCAGCAGGGGTTGTGCACTAATCTAACAGGAGTAGCTGAAATGTAAATGTAGTGCTTACTGACCAACAAACCTGTACTCCAACTTCTGTTAATCTGCTGATGCCTCAAACTTCCTTAGCACCTAATGCACCTTTAAGGCTGAGTTGGCAGTTTAACACCCTTCTAAAAATGTGGCTGACATCTTAAAAATTGGACATCACTGGCAGCTTGAGGCCAGACAAACTGATTCACAAACAGTAGGGTAGTTTATACAAAATCATAATCACCAGAAACCTCCATTTAATGAGAATGTACCTCAAAGGCTCAGTAACTGAGTTGTTCACAAATATGGTTCCAACTGTTAAGGGTCATTCACTTGTAAAGGGTTTGTAGGGAGCTCTAGGTATGTCAGTCATGCATGGTAGCTCCAGTGATTTTTGGGGGGAAGAGGTTGGCATAGGCATTAATTTTCAATGAGAGAATTTCCATCTCCAGCAGCAGTTTGAAGAAATGCAGCCTTAAGAGCATGGTACGGCCTGGTGCTTGAAATTAGTATAGCCATATCCTCAGTACAACAGCAAGACAATCACTGGGTAAAGTCCTAGCCCCAGGGAAGTTAATGAATTTTTCCACTGACTTCAATGAGGCCGGGATTTCACCCCTAGGGCAAGAGGATTAGAAGAAAGGCAAAAGCAGCATGGTTAAGTAGAACAGTCCATTTTCTTATGCTGTCACTTACAGACTCAGACTTTAAGGTCAGAAGGGACCAATATGATCATCCAGTCTGACCTCCTGCACGTTGCAGGCCAGAACCTCACTCCCTACTCCTTTAATAGACCCCAAACTTCTGGCTGAGTTACCGAAGTCCTCAAATCATGGTTGAAAGACACTTGAGTTACAGAGAATCCACCATTTACACTAGTTTAAACCCGCAAGTGACCTGTGCCCCTTGCTGCATTCAACCCACTTCTGAGGTCAGTCAGTGACACAGTGGAACATGAGTCTCTACAAACAAGGCCCCTAAGAAACCAGTTTTAATTTAGGGACTGCCCACCAACCATACTGCTGCCCTGAACTGCTCTCTGTAACAGCCAAACAGTCCTCTTTGATTAATAGAGGGATAATGCTTCTAACAGGGCACTGAGTTTGTTTTTTTCAGTTTATGCTATCCTTTTAAAAGAGAATCAAAGTATGCTAGAGGAAATTGGTGGGAAGGCATTTACCAATGTACCATGCCCCAGAAAAAATACTCCCAACAAGAAAGCATGAGAGACCATCAAAACCCCAGCCCTCCCTTTTCAATATAATCAAATGTTAATATTAATAGGTAGTTGTAGTGACACAGTCATGACTCACGCTCCATTGTGTTTGTCCTGTACAACAGAGGCAGTCCCTACCTTGTCCAGCTATATGTATACACCAATACCCAATTAGGTCTCTCACTGAACAATGGAGATAAAATGTCTGCTCTGTGAAAATCATCTGATCAGACTCTCGCCAAAGGTATGTACATTTATTAAGAACATGCTACAAGCCACAGGGTGAAAAAGGCTGGCTTCACTGAACTCAATGGAAGTTTTGCCATTGACTTCAGTGGGGTCAAGATTTCACCCATAGGTTCTACGTGTAAACTTCAGGAAAAACAAAACAAAATTCCTTCCCCCTCTCCCCCCAAATGAGCAATAAATTATATTTTTATTTGATATCTGGGCCCCATAGTAAATTCAGAGGATTTCAGTCACTAAATTCTATACCAAAAAAGCCATCCAATGTACAAATGCAATCCAATATAATTAATATTAAAATAATATTGTAAATTGGTTCCCAAATTTTGCTCTTTAGATTCAGTTGAACTACACTAAGTATAGGAGTTGGGAGAAAAATCCACTCTTGAAATCCTACAAATACTACATGTACACTAGCCCTGAGAACCAAATAGTACTCAAAAAACACTGCACCAAAATCTACGCTGCATGCATACATGCATCGTTGGGGGGGAAAAAAGAGACCAAAAACCAGCTGGACTTTTGGAGAATCATACACAGAACCTTCATAGCAGTAGATACATAAGAATACAGATGTGTAAAACAGAATCAGTGACCAAAAATTAAAGGAAGAAACTGGAAGATCCTAGCTGTGTGACTTGTGAATCAGTGTTGCAAAGGAGACAGATAGAGAGACATTTTCTGCTCCACTGTCAGAAATACAAGTCCTCCAATCTAACATACTTGATAGAGACTTTCCATTAAAAAGTCCTGAGAAAAACAAAGGACGGCGATAGCATCACATAGCCTTGGGCACGTTTCTTCCTATGTCTACACTACGAGCTAGGGGTGTGATTCCCCTGGCTCACGTACACATACTTGTGCTCGCTCTCGTGGAGCTAGTGAGAATAGCTGTACAGCTGCAGCGGTAGTGGCAATGAAAGCATGGCTGAGCCGTACAAAATACAACCCCACCGAACACTGGTAGCCATTGCCCTAGTGCGAGTCTGTGTCCACATACGGAAATCACCCCCCAGCTCATAGCATAGACATAGCTGGAGTCAGAGGTGAACAAGAATGACCGATGGAGATGGGATAAAAACACAAAAAATGACTATGAAGCCTGACAGGATACTGGATACTTAGACTGTAACAGAGCTGTTTGGAATTTCTGTTCCATGGGAAATTCCGACATTTAAAAACAAGGTCCCAGTTGAGAACAAACAGCCAACATTTTGAAATGTCCCACAAAATTAAAATTCCAAAATGTTTCGATTTGGGACCACTGAAACATTTCAATTCAATAGCGTCAGAACATTTCAAAAGGTGGTCATTTTGTTTGGACTTATTTCATTTTAACTTTTATATTAAATTGATAACGTTAAATTAACACTAATATTATAACCGTATATTTGATATGTGTATAAGTAAAAACATTTCCATGCTGTCAAAAAAGTTTACACTTTTTTCCATTTTAAAATGATCAAAAAAATCGGTACTTTCCCATTAAATGTTTTGATGTTGACAAAGCTGCATATTTCAATGGGAAACTGTTTTGCTGACCATCTCTAATTGTCAGTTCTTCAGGGGCAGGGGCCATCTTACTGTCATATGTTTGTACAGTGCCCAGTAGCTGGTTCAGGACTAGGGTTTTAATGTACTAGACCTACTTTTCACAAATAGCCCAGGTCTGTGTCTTTGTAAAATTTTATCAGCATTGTGTAACTTGTCTAAAGAATTTTGACTTCAGCTTGACTTATGGAGCGGCCTATCTGCCATCAACTTCAAATTTCAGGGTGGTTTGTTTGTACAGTAGTGACTTTGTAAAAGCTTCCATTGCACTCAGTAGAGCTGCTACTTCCTTATTGCTTACATGGTATATTATCAGCTGTCTATCTAAACACTCTGTTCATGCTGCCAGATTGACTCAAGTGTAATTTTTTACAATAAAATGATTTCTCTCTCTGCTCTTGGTGAGATAGGCTCCTGGATTCCAGAGTGACAGGCACATTAAAAACACCTAAGAAATACAGAGAGACACACTTAAAGGCAAACTCATAATAGTTGAATTTGAGAACAAGCAATCTTATGAATATACATAACGTCATTAAGGTGTTGTAGACCCCTGATCAGAACAGAGTTAGTTTAAGCCTTAGAATGTCGGGGTTCTTTTCCCATCTCTACCCAATCCTCTCAACTTGCGAAAGTGTAAATGTGGAACACAACGTGTGTCAGAGAACCAAAATGAGGGAGACAAAAAGCAGGAAAATTAAAATGCATGGGATCTATTCCTTCAGTGTAAATAACTCTGTTTTACCTTGGTCACATGATTATGCATTTCTAATTTAACTAATTTTCAACAATAAAGGGAAGAAGACACCAAATGTGGGCGGAATATAGGTAACTTGGGGATTTTGAAAAGTATAGCTCTGCCACTGACTTGCTGTGATGCCTTGGGCAAAATCACATCATCTCTCTGGTCCTGTTTCCCAATTCATTAAATGTGAATAATACTTCATTAATGATTGTAAAATGCTTTGATGTGTCTAGATGAATGTCACACTTAAAATCTACATGACTAGTACTAATAAAGAATGTTAACTACAGGTGCCCTGTTTATTGCAGCCTGGGTCTCCACTTGCATGGCCTCTCTGGAAGGGAACTCTCTCACACTAATGACTCACTCCTGGTTTGGAGAATCTCTCTATCTTTTAAAATAGCTTTTATTGCATTGTCTAAAACCCATACAGAACGTTCTGACAAACTTCAAAGGCATAACAAGCACAATAGGTACTGTATAACCTACAAACTATGTGCCATTATGTTCTTTCCAAATACAATTATGTGGATTAGCTGCCATAGACTCACTGTAAAATCTGTTAACAATTTACATGTATATAGTACAGAGGAAGGATCTGCCTTTCTAAAGACTTACTCTCAGGAGCTGTGCATTGCTGGGCAAGATGCTACAATGATAAATGTGGCTCTGGGTAATCAGTAGCAAACAGTGCCCATCT